CCCCCGGGAGAGTTAAGACCCGCCCCTCCTCCTCGCCCCGCCTCCCCCCCCGCAGCAGCCGAGCCTACCTCGCGGGGGCGTGTCTCCTGAGTGCGCCCAGCCTTCGCCCCGCCTCCAGGGCCTCGCCCCGCCCCCGCGGCCTGTTTGCCATCATCCTCCGCCGCCATCATGGCCGCCATGGCCGCTTCCTCGGCGGTGTCTCCCGCCTCGGGTTCCTCTTCTTCCTCCGGCGGCGGCGGCGGCCCGGCCGGTTCGAGCTCCTCGGGGGCTTCGGGCGGGGGTGGCGGCGGGGCCTCGGGGCTGACGGCGGCGCTGACCGGCACCATGAACCGCAAGAAGAAGCCCTTCCTGGGCATGCCGGCCCCACTGGGCTACGTGCCGGGGCTGGGCCGAGGGTGAGCAGCCGGATCGTGGGTGGAGGGCGTCCCTGAGCATGTATAGAGGGCTCTCTTTCCTTCAGTTTGCATCCCGGCGGACGTTTGCGTTCCCACGACCGGCCTGGTTTTCTTCGTTTTAGGGGCGTTTTTGCACTTCCTGAGCCGCTTTAAGATGGAGGGGGACTTCAACTCCCAGAATTCCCCAGCCTGATTCCCCAATGTGGGGCATTCTGGGAGTTGAAGTCCTCCCCCCTCCCATCTTAATGTTGCCCAGCTGAGGAAGCACGTTAGAATGGTGAGATTTGTCCACAAAGACACGTGTGTGGACTGAAGTGAGCTGTGTTGGGTATTACCCGTGTTTCAGCCCCTGCTGGATTGGGCTGTGTAATAAGATCCAGGGAAGATCTCATGGCTTGCATTTTGCACACCTTGTTTGATTTCTGGTTTGTTTTTTGTTGTGGTGTTTTGCATGTGTGCCTGTTTTGAACGTGGTTAAGGCTTTGGGCTATAAAACAAGAGATGTTTAGAATAGAATAGAATAGGAAGACGAGTTGGAAAGTACCTTGGAGGTCTTCTAGTCTGACCCCCCTGCTCAGGCAGGAAACCTTATAGTTGCTGTCCAATCTCTTAAAAACTTCCAGTGTTGGAGAATTCAGATGGAGTTCAGGTTACATCTGGGCCATCTAGGTAACCTTGAATCAGTCCACCTCTCTCAGCCCAGCCCACCTCACAGGGTTGTTGTGATGGGGAAAATGCAGATAGTCAGTCCTCAACTCATAACAGTTTATTTAGTGATTGTTCAAAGTTACAAGGCACTGAAAAAAGTGACATAAGACAGTTTTTCACATGACAGTATCCCCATAATTGTGATCAAAAGTTGGACGCTTGGCAACTGACTCATATTTATGACGGTTGCAGTGTCCTGGGGTCACGTGATCACCTTTTTTTATTTTCTGACAAGCAAAGTCAACGGGGAAGCCGGTTTCATTTAACGAAGACGTTACTAAACTGCAGGGATTCACTTAATAATTGTGGCACCAAAGATCGTAAAATGGTGCAAAACTCCCTTAACAAATGTTTCACTTAGCGACAGAAATTTTGGGCTCAATTATGGTCGTAAGTTGATGACTACCTGTACTTTTTAAAAACAATAAAGGTGAAGTACAAATAAACAAACAAATGTTTAGCTCATTCATTGTGTTCTAAACACAACGCTTCTGGGCCACAATTGAAGATGCACCACTGTCTTTAATCCAAGAGTTTTCTGTGTTTAGTGGTAGGGCCACTAGTGGCCCCTGGGGTGAAGAACAGAAGGAGCTGACACCTGTTTTGAAAAAATAACCACCCAACAATTTGTGGTGTTAGCTTTTGCAGGAAGTTAGCTTTGGATTGCCATAAAAAGGCTTCCCTGTCTGCATGAAATGAAGCAGACAGAATGAATGTGTTTTCTTACAGCTTAGAAAGCGAGTACAGGTAGAGCTCAACTTACAACCACAATTGAGCCCAAAATTTATGTTGCTAAGTGAGAAATTTGTTAAGTGAGCTTTGCCCCATTTGTTAAGTGAATCACTGCGGTTGTTAAATTAGTAACGTGGTTAAGTGGATTTGGCTTTCCCATTGACTTTGCTTGACCAGGAGCGGTGTGGTGGCCTAGAGGCAGAGCTCTCGCCTCACAATCAGGAGGCTTTGAGTTCAATCCTAGGTAGAGGTAGGTAGGTCTTTCTCTGGGCACAGTGTGAATATATTTGCTGAATGTAACTCCGCATTGGTGACAGGGAGGGCATCTGGCCATTAAAACACTCTGCTTGGAAACGGATTATTATTTGACGTGGAATGTACTCTATGATTGGCTAAATAATAGGTATAGAATTGAATAGAGAAGACAACAAGATAAGGTAAAAGTTATAGAGGACAAAGATAGATGAAGCAATATAGACAAGTGTATAGATAGTTAAGATTTATGTAAAAGTATGTATACCATATACATAGTTAAGTACCCAGGATGAGATGGATCTTTGAGGATGTTTTGAACTTTCTTAAGGCAGCGGGAGCTCTAAAGCTCTTCCAAAGAGGGGAGAGGGCAACCATTGATCCTCTGGGCAATGACGTTCACCCTCTGGAGTGCTGTCCTATCTGCCCCTGTGCAATTGGCCAACCATACAGAGGTGCAGTATGTTAAAATGCTCTCTATGGTGCAGCGGTAGAAGGTCACCAGCAGTTTTTCATTCAGTTGTTGTTTTCTGAGAAGTCTCAGGTAGTATAATCTCTGCTGGGCCCCTTTGACCAGGGCTGCAATGCGTGCACCCCAGGTCAGGTCCTCTTTTAGGGTAACACCCAGAAACTTAAAACTGGCTACTTGCTCCAGTCCCCATTGATAAGCAAGGGCTGGATGTCTGTTCCTTCTATAGTCCACGATAAGCTCCTTGGTCTTATTGGTGTTGAGGACCAATTTCAGATGGGTGACTGTCTAGAGTCTCTTCTTAAAAACATCCAGTGGTGGAGTTCCTTTTTCCTGATTTCCCCCCATAATTTTCCACTTCAATTCATAGAAAGAAAGTGTGCTCACACACTATTGTTGTTGTTTTTGTTTTGCTGATCAATTCTTAATTTTATAAATAGCCCAGAGGAGATGATCATTGCAAAACACACACACACACACCATCTAACCATGTCTGAATTTTCTCTGAATCTGTTGTGGTGTTTTTTTTTTTTTCTCCCTGTGTAGAGCTACTGGCTTTACCACCCGTTCAGATATTGGTCCTGCCCGGGATGCTAATGACCCTGTGGACGACCGTCATGCTCCGCCAGGGAAGAGGACCGTTGGGGATCAGATGAAGAAAAACCAGACAGCCGATGACGATGACGAAGACCTGAATGACACAAATTATGACGAGGTGATGCCATTTTGTCACACTGGTCCATGCTGCCGATCAAGCTGTGTTATAGTTGCAATATTGTTCAGTCGCTAAATCGTGTCTGACTCTTCGCGACCCCCAGGGACCACAGCACGCCAGGCCCCCTTGTCCCCCACTGTCTCCCAGAGTTTTGCCCAAACTCATCTTCATTGCGTGGATGACACTATCTAACCGTCTCATCCACTGCCGTCCCCGTTCTTTTACCTTCCATCATCCCCAATCAGGATCTTCTCCAAGGAGGGATGGCCTTCAGCTTCGGTGGCTGTCCATCCAGAGAACAATCAGGGTTCCTTTCCTTTAGGATTGACCGGTTTATATTTGCAATATCATCATGTTTTATTGAGCTTCTACAATTCGCTTAAGGATGGATAGGTGTTTTTTCTTCTTCTTCAAGATTGTAACATTCCTTTTATGTGGAGTGCTATGGATTTGAACCTGTTCTTTTTTCTCCCTGCATGACTGCTTACATGACTTTCCTTGCCCCTCTTCCTTAAGTCTGTCTGTCTGTCTATCATCTGTTTGTGTCTGTTTATATCTCTCTAGTCTGTCTATCCATCTATCATCTACCTACCTACCTACCTACTTATATATCTTATGGCTAAACAGGCTATAAAACTGGATTTAATTTGACATTTTGATTTTGGTGGGTTACAATAAGGGGATAAAATTAGTTGACACAACCTTTTTGTCCTGTGCAGTTTAATGGTATGCTCGAAGCTTGTTCTTAAGGTTTACCTATCCTATCCTATCCTATCCTATCCTATTCTATCCTATCTATTCTATCATCTACCTATTTGTATCTATCTATCATCTACCTCTATATCTATCTATCTATCTATCTATCTATCTATCTATCTATCTATCTATCTATCTATCTATCTATCTATCTATCTATCTATCATCTATCATGTGCGTCTGTCTGTCTGTCTGTCTGTCTATCTATCTATCTATCTATCTATCTATCTATCTATCTATCTATCTATCTATCTATCTATCTATCTATCTATCATGTGCGTCTGTCTGTCTGTCTGTCTATCTATCTATCTATCTATCTATCTATCTATCTATCTATCTATCTATATCTATCTATCTATCTATCTATCTATCTATCTCTATCTATCTATATCATGTGCATCTATCTATCTATCTATCTATCTATCTATATCATGTGCCTCTATCTATCTATCTATCTATCTATCTATCTATCTATCTATCTATCTATCTATCATCTCTCTCTCCCTCATTTACGTACTGTATGTATCTGTCTGTCTCGATCATCTACCTATTTCTATCTATTTCTATATGTCTTATCTACCTCTCTCTGTCTCTCTCATCTAATCTAATCTAATCTAATCTAATCTAATCTATCTATCTATCTATCTATCTATCTATCTATCTATCTATCTATC